ATTGTTTACAATTGTTAAATTGTCAATTGCAAATGTCAAAATTACTGTTACCATAACAACCTAGCTTCCTTTATGTTGGTAGATTGTAGTATATGGTCCCTTTCCCACATAATGTTTTTTCCAATCTATTTACCCCCTAAGTATGATAGTGTGAAAATGTATAGCCTAAAGCGTGTTATAAGTGTAGGGCTTTTTATTAAAGAAAGTATTTTTCAAAAATATACTGTGATAACAAAGTAGTGTGTTTAATTTTAATATATTAGTATAGTCTGTGCGCCTTGTAAGTATGTATGTATTGTTAGGAACAAAATTATTACAGTGCTGTAGAATTGGCGCAACTCTAGATTATCGGCATAAACGTCACGTCCCTAGCTGACAGCTGACAGCTGTCAATGTCACTAGAAGTACGGCTAGATTGGCGCGCAACCTGATTCCCACGACAAGTCTTGCTCTGAGTTTAAAGCGACAGTATTAATTAAATAAGTTGTCTAAAAGTATGTATGTTTGTATGTTGCAGGTGATAAAGCAATGCCTGTGGTTCATCCTGGAGCCGCTGATAACTCGCAACGACTTCTACTGCTACGGCTTCTACAAGAGCCTCGTGGAGCGCATGAAGAACCATAAGGATGCCATACACGAGAATGATGACGCTTTCAACTTTGTTAGTATAGTATATATGACTTATAAGCTTTTACCCGCCACTTCGTCCGCGTGGAATTTAAAAAAAAAAAACAAAATTGAGTAGCTTATGTGTTCTTCCAGACTATCCTCTACATATATATCAAATTTAATTGAAACCCGTTCAGTTGTTTAGGCTACAAACTCTAACAAACATCCATCCATCCATCTAAACTTTCGCATTTGTAATATTATTAAGATTATTTACATATCAATATTAATTATATTCAAGTTGTTATTTAAATATTTTTATTTGCATGGAGGGTCTATGATTTCCGTTTGGTATACCTCTTTGAAAACGAAAAAAATGACTATGTAGTATTTTTTTTAATGAGATATGTTGTGCAGAAACTGTGGGCGGTGTGCGACCTGGCGATGTCGGTGATCTGGTCGCGGTCCAGCAACTACGAGATGCGGGAGTTCCCCTCCGACGCGCGCATCCCCACCATGTACTTCTCCCCGCAGCCAGACTTCTTCCTCAACACGCGCGTCTTCCTGCCGCCAGAGCTGCAGGTAGCGTTAATAAACTAACTGGCCAAGTAAAATTTAAAAAAATGAGTATCCTATGTGTTCTTCCAGACTATCCTTTACATCTATACCAAATTTCATGAAAATCCGTTCAGCCGTTAAGAATATTTTTTAGTCTAAATATCTGCATTTATATTTAGTGAGAGTTTCGCGTCTTCGTCCGCGCAAAAAAAATAGCTCTTAATTCATGACAGAATCTTTTGAAATAGGCCTTGTAGTTTTTGGATTATTCCAATATTCCTCTTTATATTTGTATAGATGACATCTAAATTATACGACAAAATTGGGTTAAAACCTGGTTTACATTTGACCACACAGTTCGACTACCAGAAAAATTACCTTGTTCCTTAAGAGCAACTTCGCCTCTAATAAATAACTAATTAGGTAGCAGTGGCTTGTTCACATGATAATAGTAGAAAGCAATTAGCCTTTTACCACTAGATATACATTTTTTCGTACAGACACGTTCAAAAGTGGCTTATTAAGATTTTTCACGTCTTATCCAATACCGGCAGTTTTCCCAACTGTACATTTGGACAGTATCACTCAATCACGACTGCCAATTGGCACAATGAAAACAATAACTGGCGCCAGTGAGTTACTACATTCCATGCTTGGCTTGCGTTTTGGTAGTTGTTTAATGTTTATCAAAATTTCTGTCTACAGTTTAAAAATAAAATGTTCTATGATAGTTCTTCATATTTCTTTAGAATACAGCGCAAAATCCGGCAAATTTAGATATGACTAAGGTAGTAATTGATGTATTTTTTTGTATATTCTAGTTCCAGGCTAAGAAGGTTGTGCCGCCGGTGGATCGCGCACCGAAGAAACGTAACCGAGGAGTTCCAGATCGCGAGAACACCAACGATGTTGAGGTAATACTCCTACCATTATCTACCACGATCTTCCACAATCTACCAGACTAATGTACAGTCAGGGCCCTTTGCAGTGTGACTTTGTAATTGTTTTTCTTGCAATGAGACAATCCACTTCTTATAAATAACTAATTATCGTATTTATAACAGATCAGATTTAAAAGTTGCATCCTTTGGTTTATTGTACCGCGTTCTCAATGCATACAAAACGTTATACTTCTTTACGATTTTAGCCTAACAACTCGATCCGACTAATCGGTCGATAAAAAGTTTAATCTGTGAGGTTCTGGTCTTTGTATGTATAACAATGTATATAATTTGTGTTTGCAGCCATCGGAGGCGTCAGACACTCAGATAATGCTGCCAGGACTGGAGCACCCGCCGGAGACCGACCTAGACGAGCCGCAGCCCAAGCGTGCGCTCACCGACTGAGCTCACACCAGGACTGACAGTGACGCAGTGTGACACAGTGTGATGCAATGTGTTACAGTGTGATACAGTGTGATGCGGTGTGATATTGTGTAACACATTGATATATCGCGATGCGTTGATGTGTAACGTAGTGTGACCCAATGGGATTCATTGTGACTCGGTGTGACGCAGTGTGACGCGGTTCAACGCTGTGTGTACACAGTGATCTCGGTGCATGTCACAGGTAGAGTATGGTGTTAGTTGTTAATGTATATTACAATCGTAATAAATCTTGTTTTTTACATCTGTTTATAGTACAGTTTATTCCAGTCCAGTGAAGACAGTGCTGGATTACAGCTGGCAAATGTAAACTAACACTAAAATACAGTGAAGGTTCCAGTTTGTGTTTATAGTTTCTAGTTGTAATCCAGTGTTGGATAGAATGCTGGACTGGGATAATGTAAACAAGGCATTATTATTGTTTATACTGTGCTGTAAAGTAGAGCATATTTTTTTTTAGATTTTCGATATAATCATGTTTTCATTTACATCTATCTCCATACTCTGACCTGTTTGTGACCTGTCGTAGATTTTTAATACACTTTGTCTGTTAACGGTAATATATTTTGTGAAGATTCGCGTGTTTTATTTCATAGTTTAGTTATGTAACCTCATTCTATCCTACCTCTTTTTATCCCTGATAACTTTCTTAAACTATAATCCTTGATGTTTAATATTGCAGGTTTTTTTCTTTAATTATATTGATAAAAATGGCACTTTCTAACGAAGTAGGTAGTTTTTAGGGGCTTAGTTAATTGACACCTTATCAAAAACCATTAAAATCTATATAAAATGTAACCATTTTGTAATACAATTTTAACGATCTAAGTTAAAATTAAAAACACGAGTCTTTTTTAATATATTACCGTTAAAACTTGAATTGATTAAATGTCCATATACTAAAATCAACTAAATTCAGGAAACAAATATCGTAGAATTACACAGGGGTACACCTATCTGTGAAATTCCACTCACTACATGTATAGAACATTTTTCACCTCTGCTTGTACTTAGAGTGAAAGGGGTGAATATATATTTATATACTTTTGGCAGAGGATAACTATAATTGTTTACAATGTTCTTGTAAATACGGGTTGAAAACTTAATTATAAATTCCAATGTTGCCACAAAACTAAACTATGACAGATTTTAAGATGTCGAAAACTATTTTCATCTTTAATTTTATGACTCACAATTTGAATCCCATCTGAAGTGATACTTTCCAATCACTGATATGTTATAAATGGACAGGTTTTTGCAATAACTTGTTGGCTATATTCCGATAAGCCTGTTGCCTGCCTTAAATTTTATTATTATATCAGCTGAAATGGTGAATGGTAAATAATCCCAAGTAGGGTTGGCGACAGGCAGGCGGCCGGCCGTAAAAAATAGTGCCGAATCTAAAGGTTTTTGAGGCCGACCCTACGGGAGTAGGATAAGGAGATGATGATGATATCAGCTGAAATGGTGAAAATCAAAAAGGCATAAAATAAGTCTTATAACCTGTCCATTTATAGATGTCTGTGTTTCGAATCCCATTCTAAGCAATCACTTTCATGCAAACTTTCGAACACTGAAGAATCTTTCAAAAAAACATAAATTTTTTGATGTCAACCAAAAAATGTTTATCTAGACTGATGGCTAGTTTTATCGTAAAAAAAATAGAATTGACACATTTCTGAGAAAACTTATAAAATATGCTTGTTAAGTGACATGGGCTTAAAACATTTTTTTGAAATGAAGGTTAATTATTATTGGAGCATTTTGTATGATACATTCTAAAGAAAATTGTATATATTGCTTATGTACATTTTAGATGTCAATTTAAAAAAAACTTTCATCTACATATTGGTTCTCAGTGTATAAACCTTTCATTGGACATTCAGGCATGTACAGTTGCAAAAAACATTTTTTTACACCTAATTTGTTTTTTTTTACTTTATATCAAATTAATTTAACTAATTGGTATTATTTTAAATTTAAACATGCTTAATTTTTTATTTGGAATATCCGAAATCAATTTTTATTGGAAAAATTAATGTACATACGCATTTCAAATGTAATAATAATTTTCTATACAAGAGATACGTAAGTTAGAGGGCACTAACTTAAGTACCAATGGTATAACTTTGAAATGGTCTAAGTTAGTTATTAATGAACGATAATTATGTTCCTTTACTTTGTAATTGTCGATGTTAATTGGATTTCTATTGTTGATATCTTTGTATAAAAATAATTTGTGTCTTTGCAATTTTTTCAACAGTGGAAATTCATAATAAGTCAAGTCTCTAGTTAATGTGGTCTTTAGTTGTATTCAAGTCAGAGGTCTGAAACAAAAATCAGTCATCAAGTGAAATCTATTCCCCTTTTCGTTTGATGAGTGTGGTGCCGAAGGCTCACTTTTAGTCCCTTTAGTCTTAGGAAAGGATTGGGTGGAAAAGTGGATTTGATGGTGGAGGAGATGCATGGGAAGAGGACCCCTTATTATGTGCGTCTCCTCCTCTGTCCATTTAGGATAGGCAACACATCTTCAATTGAAGTATATGGGCAGCGGTCGCTTCGCCATTTTGGCGGATTTAGATGGCCACTTGCTTGTTAGCCACCTTATTTTATAAATAAAAACCTTTGGCACACAGGTTTAAAAATGATTTCTTAATTATTGTGCTCTAATCTATTTAAAAAAAGATAAACATACTTTTGTTTTTCAAACTGAAAATTATTTTTGTCTTTAGTTTTTTAAAGTGAACATTGGTTTTGAAATATTGAAGACCTCTGACATTTTAGTGATTTTTAAGGTATGTTAAGACCAAAAATTTTTATGTAAATTTTTCTCCGAATTGAAGGATTTTTCATTGTAAAACTATTAATACTTCTGAATGGTAATTTTAGTTTTTGTTTTTTTTTTTTATTTACTGGTCCATATTTACAAGCTTTGAATGTTTGATACTCTGTAATCTGTTATAATTATTTTAATATATGCTGTGAGTAGGAATGGGGCCTTTGAAAGAGCTTTGGTATGAATCTAGGTACAGAGTAACTAATAGTTAGAGAGGACAGTCTGTACTAAAGTTGATTTTCGTCTCTTGTTTATTTTTTATGTTTACAATGAAGTATTTTGTTTTTTTTTCTAAAATAAGTTTGTCGTAACGTTTAAAAATTGTGCAGAATTGTTAAGCTTCATTTGTAGACTATATGTTAGTTAGATTTCTCTGTATGAATTTTAATTTATAAAGACATTATGATTGTCTATGGACATCGGAGCGTTCCTTTGTGGCTTATAAAACCGAGTATTAAATATTTATAAATTTAATTACTTGATCTAAACTTCAATACTGATGATATAAGTTGCTATATTATTAAAAGATAGTGCATTTATTGTAAATGCAAAAAAATGTGTAGCTTTGCTGTTTGTCCATGTCCATTCTGATGTCCATATATTATTAATGTGGTAAATTTAATTATGTTTTGTGTTAATTTAAGTCTACCAAAAAATTAAGCTGGCCAAAATGGCATTGTCACCGTTACGCGGTGGCCCACTGTAGTTATGTATTAAAATAAATAATAAGTTCACTCTGTTGTTTTATTACTCTTTGATTATTAGTTCTTACGAAGAAATGTTGCGAGATATGTTTTTAGACCCATTATCAACATGCCCTGGTCCCTACGGTGGGTCGGCACAGAATGTGCTGCTCTTCCATACATCTCTATCAGCCGTCATATCTGAATCCTCTCCCTTCTCAAGCATAATCTCATTCACACAATCTATCCATACTTTATTTTTCTCTTTCCTTTTTTTTTAAACCTTTTTTATCTATTAATCAATTAACCGCGGGATTAGGCAGAGAAGGCAACGCATTGGAAGAGGAAATACTTTCGCAAAGTCTATGGGTAACGGTCATTTCGTTATTTTTGACAAATTCAGAGAACCGCTCGTCATCTTTGACTATAAAAATTCCCGTAGAAGTACAAGGTTAGAGTGGGTGGAGGGGGTGTAATTGCACCGGGTGATGAAATAAACCACTAAATTTTAAAAACAATTAATTTTTTCACGTAAATGAATAACAATATAAACATGTAAATAAAACAATATACATTTTTATGCGCATAACGTCATGAAAACTTTATTTTATTGTTTACACTGCTTAAAACTTATCATTGGAATTATCAAAATTCAAATGACAACGACGCCTGGCTTCTTGTTTTTGTCCCTTTCACGAATATTCTTTTTCGATTTACTCACACTCTTATAGCATAGCGTGAAAATATACTGCCTATAGCGTGTCATAAGCTTTTTGATGATTTAAAAATATAGTGCCATTGCTAATATCTTACATAACAAAGAAAAGTGTGTTTACGTTTTATTACATTAGGATTACACATAAATGTAGCGTGAAAAATAGATAAATAAATAATCAAGTACACTACAAGGTCATTCTGCCAGTCGAGTTAGCGGAAATATGATGTAATTCTATACAGCATGCGTGACCTCTTCACTGTAGTGCCTGTCAGCGGTGTCGCCCTCCGGCTCCGGCATGGGTCGCGCTAACGGCCCCGCGATCTCCGGCTCTATCTCCTTTATAGCCTCCACTAGCTCGTGCGTCGTCTTGTACGATGCTATCGTTGTTGATACGAAGTCCCTGTAATTCGAGAAGTATTTCTATGATTTTATTTAGGGATTAACTTCCTAAAATATTTTTTCTACACTCCTGACAATTTCTTTCCCGCAAAAATACAAGGTGATAATTTGCTATGCGTTTACTAGTAGGCGCTGAACATATAAAACTCACTTGAAGTAGAAAGCTTTGACAAAAACGGAAGGCTGGTGCGGGTGACCGCACTTCTCGGGACCAAAGCTCATGATGCCCATCAGCTGGTTCCTCTGCACTGCAGGTGCTCCCGCGTCGAACTGTCATAAATAAAAATTGTAACTTTAAAATTATTTTTTTATTAAACTTTCAACAATAATTTGATTGCTGAGTTCCGACTAGAAGTTTAAAGTTATAAATTTTCGAAGTTTCTTATACTCACAAGACAAGCGTCCCTGCTGCCGTTCCTCAGAGAGGCGCAGAAGAAGTCAGCAGTGAACTGGAAGCCGTTGACGAGCTGGTAGGCGTCGATGCAGTAGTTCTTTGTGCGCACCTTTAGTCTTGCAGTCATTAGATCTGGCGTCTGATCTCTGAATGCTGTATCTCCACCCTGTACGGACAAACTTTCCAATCCAAACGACCGCTAAAACTTAAAAACCTCACCTATCGGGTATCTTAATTATCTACAGACCATCACCATACCATAGATCTAGTGCTATTTAAAAAAAAGATCTTACGTTGGTCGCCCCCCAACCAGATACGGCAACAAAACTCTGCGCATACGGCTCATTCATGCCATCGTATATCTTGACAAGGTTGATGTATTCATCGAATTCTGAAAACATTACACTTAAGAATTAACACCCCAAGAGTCTTAACTGTCGTAATAATTAAATGGTCGCATATTTGCTTAGGTGGTGAGTGTGCTAATAAGTGGATAATTTGGACTTGGTTTACATATCGAAGTTTGCCTCCAAATGTGTAAAACTTTATGAAAACTTCTTTTAGAGGTTCCAGAACTTTACAGTCATACTCGAGAATAGCCACCGAGGAGACTTTAGATCACTAAACAAAATGAGTCGTTTCACATAATCCTGTTTTACTTCCAGAGAGCAAGTTTGACGATTGCTTTCAGAGACAGTAAAAAAATACCAATAAGTTTTTGGAAAGGGTTATATTTACCAAGATTCTCTGATAGTTTGAGGAGTGCGACATCCGCGTGTGGTACAGGCTCCTCCTCGAATTTAGGATGTCTAATGGCGCCTATCACATCGAGTAGTACGCCGCCTTCGTGCGCCATCGCACTGCCCACGCGCACCTTCACGAACTCGCCTAGCGCCTTCAGCGGGGCCACGTGTAACACACTAATAGACAATAAGGCTACAATCTATGCTATTGTTATAAAGAAAAACGATTTGTATTTTGTGTGTAATTGATATGCGTAAAAGCTGTTGGACAGATTAAAAAAAAATCTTACACCATTATAAAGCTACGTAACCACTGGCTACAGAGTAACATAACATATAGGTACTACACGGACGAATTTTCAAAAACCGAAGCTAAAATTGCTGACAGAAAATTTCGAATGACGACACTTGTAAACCCTTGTTTTGATGACAAAAAAATGATATCCACCTTTGATTATCAGCAAACGAAAAAAGAATTTTGATTTGAAGACGAGACAATGTCGTTCAAATATTTTGCAAGAATGTTGTGAAAATGTTTAGTCCAGTAAAATACAGATTGTTTTCGGTCAGATAATCTAGAAAGGGGGGCACATCTACCAGTAATTTGGTCTTAATCCTTATTGTTTACCTATGTTACATTTGCCGATTTTCCTAGGAAGGGTTTAAATACTGCCTCCCTCTCCTAACGATGCCTATGATTGCAATATTTGTATAAAAGATTTATCTAGATGCGAGGTACTAATTTGTACTCACTAATTAAGACAATGAGCAGCTGTCACTATCCAGTTGATATCAACAATGGTGCCAGCACACCACAGTCTGCCGTTAATAATAATAGCGGCCATGTACGGGTAGTTCTTTGTATCCGTAGCATTAGCGCCCTTGATTCGCAACGCCTCTCTGTTCTTCAACATGAATTCATTTCGAATCCTAAGAGCCTTTTTACCGTGACGCATTACCGGATCTAAATGATTTCTTCTTCTTTCTATCTCCCTCTCGGCGGCTATCGAACCTTTAGGATAATAATTGCTCTATACTAATGTTATAGGAGGAAAGAATTGTATTTTTGTATGTATTGAAGTCAAATTAACTCGGCTTATTTCAAAAAATCTTTCACCATTAAAAAGCTGTTATCGCCGAGTAATATACTATTATAAAATAAAATTGTACACGAATTTGTAGTATTATTTTTAGTTTTTAGAACATCTATTTTGTTATCGTATTATGCCATTTAATGAATTACATGCATAAATAGACTTGGTAAAGAGTCTGGGGTTGTACACTGGTAGAGGTAAACCTAGGAAGAAATGGAAGGATTCTGTGAAAGGTGGCATGACCAAAAAGATAGATATGGAAGACGAAAATTATTGTACCGACTGCTTGAGTGGGATAAGAATAAGGAGGTGATGATAATCTCTTGGTGATTTATAATGCTACACTAAGGTACTTCCTTTGTGACTTGACTCTGAGACAGGGAAACATTTATGAGACGTTTCATTACTTACTTATCGTAGCGCCTATCGGATTGTCATCATCTTTCTTAGCTTCAATATTTAAATTAGCAAACGCAATAACAAATAAAAATATAAATGTTAACATTTCAAATGTAGGCATTTTAAAGTACAAGTTATGTAGGCATTTTAAATGCAATTCAATAAAAACTCGCGCACTTCTAAAATAAAATATGAAATGTAAAACAATTTTTTCGTCTGTCTGTATAAATTTCAAGGGCGAATCACAGTTCGGGGTATGCGTTACATGAGTGAAAAGTAAGATATAAAAACCAGAAGATAGAATGAGACAAATAGAGTCAGGCGCATCCGTCCTTACACATTACGCATTTCACGGGAATAATGTTAAAAAATGTCAACGTAATAAAAAATTCTCACATTAACTTTAATAAAAGTTTGTTCCAAATTCAAATTAAATAATTCAAAGTTACATAAACGAAGTCAAGAGCATAGCTTGTTTTGCAATAAAATAAAATTCTGTTTCAACATAAGCTAGCGTTTTATCAAATCAAATGTGACCACTGTTGCGTACATTATTATGGGTATTTTTCTTTAGTTTACTACAAATAAAAGATGCACTATCCAAATCATTTTAACTCTTTATTCCGAGTACATTGGTTGAATATGTGCATACGAGCAATGCGAATGCTTCCATTACGGTTATCATAATAAACCTGGTTGGCGTTCGCTGAAGATCTTTGAAGACCGTAACCTATTGAAAGCTTTTTTGTTTTTTTTTTTTTTATTTTTACGCAAATCAGCCAGGACGTTTACCTGAGCATAATATGAGATTATTTGGATGCTCCAATCATCATCACAAATAGAATTCACTTTTCGAAAGAAAATTATTTAAAACTAGATGTTGCTGGCCACTACGTCAGCTTAAAATAAAATAATTAAAAAAAAACGGCCTATATTACTCACAGATAACGTAGCTTTAAAATGTTGAAAGAATTATTTGAAATCAGCCAAATATTTTTTGAGTTATTTCAATACATACAAATATACAAATCTTTTCTCTTTATAATATTAAGTATAGATAAATTCTATTTTTATTTCTAGTCATCAGGAGTCGCGGGTAAAAGCTAGTCTTATGTATAATCATTTCAACAAACATGATATAGTAAATATATGACGTTATGCATTTGACGGTAACTAAAAGGAAGAATTAAGATTGTACATTGATATGAAAAACATACATTTCACCAATATGGTGGTTGTCAAACAAAAAGTGTTAATTTTTAACACAAACAGCATAGAAATGTTAAAAATTTAAACAAATTAATCGTCATTCAGTTTACACATGGTAATATGTAAATTTAGCGAATAAACTAGTTGCTATTTAAAATTTAAAGACACGTTACTATGGTATATATATTTCGTTCTTTTCTTTCTTTCCATCCTTCTTTTATTTTGCCTTTTATATCTTTCTATCTATCTTTCTTTCTATTTGGGATTTAAAGTCCGCAGCACATAATCAAGCTTGAGCTATAGCTTGTCTAAAGTTGCTAAATTTTTAATATCCTCCATTTTTAGTGTACTACAATCTTTATCGCACGTTTAATTCATTAAAAAATATGTTTATGCAGATTATTAACTTGTTATTAATAAAATAAATAAAAATATTGACCTCAAACAAATTTTTAATATCAAATTCTTTAAATATTTGCATACTGAACTCCTAAACGCCGCTTACCTACATCTGATCAGGTATTCAAAGCTTGTATTCGCTAAACTGGCCGCTGATGGCTACTTTGACTATTAAATGACAGGATCTGCTACGAGCGCGCTTTATTAAATAAATACGAATAAAAAGTCATGGATGTGCTTCCTTGCATGTTCGTTTTATTTCATTTATTTCACATACTCTATGGTTTTATTGTCACTGTATTTTTTCATAAAGACGCAAGTATAAGTATCTTCGATCATCGAAAAAAGTGTGGTAATTTTTGTAGTACAACGTGTTTGCCTAGTCCATTTCTCTATAGTCAAAGGCCTGATCACATATTGTATCACATGTTTATCAATACAGAACTAATGTTAATTAATGCACTTGACCTAATACAAAACGCACGCTAAAAACAAGTGCGAGAAGAACAAGGCTACATGAGCAGATAAACTGAACAGACAATGCTTAATAACGGTGGAAAAATTACCTATTGCTTGTTAGTAAAATTGATTCGCTCAGTATTTGATGGCTTTATTTCTATACCGTTTTTATCTACATGTGATAAGGCAGTTGGAAATAGCTTAGCTACTTAGTCCTGACTTTAAATTTACTTCAGCAACCAAAAGAGCCAATAAACAGAACTTTAAAAAACCAATGTATCATATTAAATTATAAAACAGCGGCAAATAAAACCAGAAACTACAAGTTACCATATTTACATTTTTCGATATATTAAGTTTTTTTTTGTTTATTTTCCACATAACAAATCATTCGAAATATTAAATAATCTATCTAATATAAGTACAAAAAATCCGTTACTAATAACCATAGAAAATTATCAAAACAAAGCATCAAAAAATCATGTGACCAATCCTAATGATTTAGTGATTATCTACGCATTTTAGATATAATTATAAATATTCAAGCAAATGCGACGTAAGAATAGGCTATTTATGTAAACATCACGAGAAAATACTACATAACAATGGAACAAATAAGTCATTATTAAGAAAAACTAGTGTAAAAAGTATTATACAATTTGATATGAAAAAGAGGAACAGATTATTGTGTCTAAATATTAAAAAAAGAAAGATAAAAATTTCTCAAATATGCTTGATTTATTTATTAAATTCATCATCACCAGCTCACTATGCGTCCCCACCCTACCCCCGTCCCCTACCCTAATACGGGGTGACTAGGCCATAGTCAACCACGCTGGCCAAGTGCGGGTTGGTGTTTTAATAAATTGGTTTTATGGTATTTCTCCCATTTTTTACTTACCAAGCTATCACCCCAGGATTTGTATGGTAATAACGCCATTCTCTCACATTGAAATCTTCAACGTGAACAATCATCGCGATATATCTGAGATTCTACACAAAACATCATTTAACTATATTCTAGAAAATCATGTTCGTTTAGTAGGTAACTAGCTGTTCGCGTGCGCCTTCATCCGCATGAAATTATAAATTTATTGTTTGCATTTGTCAAATTCTCAATTGCAAATGACAAAATACCAATTACCTTACTATGGCAATCTTGCTTCCTTGATGGCAGGAACTTACGGTCTCTTTCCCACATTAGGGTTTTTATCCAAAACATTTACCCACTAAGTTTAATGGCGTGAAAATATAATATATGGCCTAAAGCGTGACGTAAGTGTAGGGCTATTTATTAAAAAAATAATTATTCAAAAATATGCTGTAATTGCTGAAATCTGAGGCAACAAAGAAGTGTGTGTACGCTTGACTATAATAGATAGATAGATGAATTACACTCAGAAATGGCAAAGTAAATTGTAGGTATACTAAAAATAATTGTCAAAGAGTAAATATCAGTCGATGGTCAGAGGCGGACAAAGGCTGATGATGATGATGACAGTTATGGTGATGGTGATAGGAATACATATAGATAACATATGATGCTTTGTAAAGATTATAATTGATTTTCGATGACTTGTAAACGTGTTTCTTTAATAACTTACAGCTACACGTGACATTGACAGCTGATAAAAATATATTAAAAATCATTTTGTATCTATGTCGTAAAATACTAACCTTTAAATACAAATTTAAAACAACTACTATACTATAAACATTTTTTTTGCGTTTACTTCCACGTTTGTGAACAATAGTGATTTTATTAAAAAAAATTCGACGCACATTTAACGAGCGTATGTTTTTAAGATGCGACCGACCCGTTCATTGCGACCAGCAGTCCGATAGAAGACACCAGAGTGTCCGGATGAACAGTACAGTGGCACGGAGTTGTAAAAAAAGTGAAATGAATTTTATATTGTCGAAATTAATGTGGCAGAATGGAACAAGAATTAATCAATATTTGTTTGCGACCATAAGTGAGTTTTTAATTATTTTTTTCTATTTTTAAATTAATTATAATTGCATGTTTTATAATTACGAAAAGATATCAAATAAAGATGTACTAGTTCAAATACTAAATACAATTATGTATAAAAAAATAGTCCACTATTTTCGACTACCTACAAAACAGAAAAACATTGTTTACAAATTCTAAAAAATAATGACACAAATATCAATGATTTCCTTATATTTTTTCTGCAGAAAATTACGAGACGATAAAAATTTAGCGACAAAACGTTTTTGTTTACAATCTTTATTTTAAAATGTTCTAATTAATTTCGAGGTTAATTTAAGAAAACGTTACTATTTCACTATTAATATGCATTACGGTACGGTTGTATAATTTCCTTACATATGGTACGTAATAATTTTTGTGTAATATTTTTTAATATCAAAGTTCATACATCTATACTTCTATACTATTATAATAAAGCGTAAACACTTTGCGTGCGTTCTTTGTTGCTTAAGATGTCAGCAAGTACAGCATATTTTTGAATAATTATTTTTTTTTATAAAAAGCCCTACACTTACGTCATGCTTTAGGCTATATATTTTCACGCCAATAAACTTAGGGGGTAAATATTTTGGATAAAAACCCTAATGTGGGAAAAAGACCATAAGTTACTACCAGCATCAAGGAAGCAAGATTGCCAAGTTTTGTCATGTCATGTCATTTTGAAATTTGCAATTGACAATTTGACAAATGTAAACAATAAAATAAAATTTTCATAATTTCATGCGGATGATGCCGCACGGGAACAGCTAGTTTTAAAATATTTTCGTGCGTACAAAAAAGGTTACTCGGATAATAAGGTTTTATTTACTGCAAGTGGTTTATTTATACCCATTATCTACTTTATAATATCTTAAATCTAAAACACTTGATGCTACATTTATGAATAAACTAACAACCGTACACGTAAGAAAAGAGGGATGTTGTGAAAAGTGACATGATCTAGGGAGTGACTGTAATGACGGACGATAAATCGATGCAGGACGAAAAGGTAGACAGACCCCAAGGTAGTAGACGGTATGAAGACGGGAAACAACTATGATGATTGTATATTCGTTTTTATTTTTAAAATAATTGCATTTGTTCTTAAACTTCTATTTTGTACATTGTGTGTGTTTTTTTTATAAATATGATGAAAGGTTACCGCACTCTAATCCCTACTTACAGATATACTAAGTAATGAACGCATTTGTTACAATTATTGCGTAATAAATGGAAAATATTTAATAACTAGCTGTTGCCCGCGACTTTGTCCACGCAATATTAAGATTAAAAAGTAGCCTATAATATGCCCGTCTGTCAGCTACCCTTCATTGAAAGCCCGGTCGAAATCGGTCCAGTAGTTTTCGAAGATTACCCGGAACAAACGCGGCAGCCAAATATTTTTTTAATGCGGTTGTCGTTATCAGCATCCCAAATAAATCATCTTCCCCAAATCTAGAATTTTTCTTTTGATATGACAAAAAGACACTCCAATTTTATTATATGTATAGAAGTCCCTGAGAATTATGTATAAAAAAATATAAAACATTCTGAATTCAAAAATATCAATGTATCTTATTAGTGCCGGTACGATTCTTTTTAAATAAGGAAACACTTATATTTGTGGAGTACAAACTACAATTGGCATGAGTTCTTTTTTATCAAGTATACGTCAATGATAGAAAGGTAAGCTTTTCATATCTATATTAAAAACCTTCTTTTGGTAGTCGGATAAAATACTTTGATGCGATTACAAGCCGAATTATTGATTTGTCATAACCATGACGAAACATAACAACCCAGCGTAAAATCAATCACAAATAAATTATTTATATTATTAAAATGTAATTATTAAAACGTAGACAATCATTTGCAATCGTTAACGTTATCATAAATTTTCATGTACAAATTAAAATATTCTAATAATCTTTGTATGTTTTAAAATAGTTAAAGATCGTGGTCGTATAGTTTTCATTTTATCTTCAAACTGTTGCTCGCTTCTTCACCCACGTGAAATTAAAATTTAGCCTATGTTACTTAGATTAATTACTTTTCTAACGGTAAAAGAAGATATTGGGCAAGTAGGTTTGAGTTATACGTTTTTTTTTTGGTTTCTTTTTTGGGCGGCGCCATGCCGCCTTTTCGTTCCCCCTAACATGTTTTTGGGAAAGGGACGTTGGGTGCGGGTGGAACTCTTTATCTCTTTATTTTAATTTTTTTGCTTATATCTTACAAGTTTCTTAAAACTACTTTACAATTTCAATAAAAATACTATCACAGTTTTTTGCCTTTTTAGGATTTCAGCTTATAGACTAAAAATGCTAAAATGACTAGAATTTAATGACTACTTTAAAATTACTAAAATGACTAGATATGTTACTACTATAAGTGAGTTATACGTTTAAAAATGCAAAAAAATCCTGTTTATAATATTAGTATAGATACAAAAGAATGCATCTTCGATAACCATAGGTGTATCTAGGAAGAGATAGATTCTGTAAGACGACTGACAGAAATGACGGGAGTTAGGTCCGGAGAGTGGTGCGCGTACCTAATGTGAGTGGGATTATTCACAAGGGAGAATAAATGCGGCTACAATTAAGGCTCAAACTATGTGCGTAAATTCTGCAAATTATGATTTTTTGTTAAAATTACAAAGGTTCTTTTTACCATGTCTTGACAGTTGCAATGTATGCTTTTGTATAGTTACAATATATTTTTCCCTCGAGCATACGTTTTAAATCTTACACAATAGCAACGACCAAAAAAGAATTTAAGTTACATGTACTTCAATCATCATCATGAACCACTTGCCCTTATCCCTTACGGAAGCACAGTATGTGCTGTTCTTCCGTCATATCTGAATCCACTCCTTTCTTAAGCATATCCTCTTTCACACAATTCATCCATACTTTCTTCAGTCTTCCTCTATGTAGCCATCCATATTCAGTCTTAACACTTTCTGGTTATATGTACTTTAATATTGTTGTTAATAAGTCGTAACATCTTGGCGTAATACAGAAACATTTATTGTATGATTCATTCAAAATTGTACTTCACGTAATTATTGAAGGTATCTTTTAAGATATTTATAACTATATTTTATGAGTTGTTTTTTTTTAATTTTAATGCGCAATTTTCTCAAGGACGTTTTGTATTCGACCTTTTTAGTGCATACAGATTAAAAATAGAAAATTAATTGGTTTAAATCGTAACAGTATTTGACAGGCGAATTAGGATTGGCAAGAGGTCGATTGGCGCCTCTCGAAATTCGACAATATTTTATATGCTGTTGGCATAACTATTTAGGTGAAAGTCGTATTTAGGATTTGCGTCTCTAAATAATTTGTTAAAGAATCGAAAACGGGTTTTCTTAACTTTCTTGGCTTACTTATAAAACCGTAAACACATGTATCATGATACTGATTTATGTTTTATATTTGGTACACATTAGGACGTAACCACACTAACACAACCAGTAAACGAATATTAAAAAAAATATCTTACAGTTACTAAGTAATATTTAATATATATAGGAAACGAATTACTTATTACACGATCTTATGATGGTTTACAAACGTTTAGAAAAAAAACAATAAACATCAGTTTGACAGTTCGTTTGAAATACGAACAAAAATCCTTACCGCTAAAAAATGTGTTTGACATTTGGAAGACAGTTGACTGAGCATTTCGTTCAGAAATTACATAAAAAAAGATAAAAAATGGGTATAAATATAAACGTAGTTTATTAATTCATTTAATTTTTTAAAATAAATCGAACTACTCCTATTAATGATTTAATAACAATTCTTCGTATCATTAAGGCACTTTCTTCTCAAGCTTGTGTTGAATAATTCTGCACGTGTTTAGTAAATTAGTATTCACACGTTGCTAAAACCGAATAGTCCGAATCGTATAGTCTGCATTATACCTAATGGTCATTTGCGTGTTGCCAATAATGGGTTCATTTCCCCTGATTTGGCAAATAGTTTAATAAAAAATAAACAAAATATGTGAAGGTAAAATTTAATGTCTGGTTTTTCGATTTGCGACCTCTAGATCGATTTATTTTTAATTAAAGTGGTTAAATTAAGATATCTTCCATAAGAAAAAATAATTCGTGATCAATTATTAGGACCACTAGACGCCGCTTAGACTACCTACAAATTGTAACTTCAATTAATATTTTTTTACTAGAATAGACTGCTACTAGTATATTGAGCCGACACTATTAAAGGTCAAGTTTGTTTATTTTTTAATGTAAATTATATACCGGTTTTACTATGATTCAATAATTAACCGAATCGTAAAAAACGTGTGTTGTTTTTACCATGTATTGATTGGGCAAGGTTGTTTATGTCAATACCACAGATAATATAATACTATAAACAAGATAATTATAATACAACACAACGATTGTAATAGGGGTAGGCAGAACTACGGACTACGGTCATAGCACATCCTTTTTGTCTCTTTCGCATTGAATATAACTTACTTCAAACTTTCATTACATTAACTGTTTCTAGCGTATATATGTACATATAAATACATATCTTAGTAATATTATAAATGCGAAAGTTTAGATGGATGATTATTAGAGTTTGCAGCCTAAACTGCTGAACGGATATCGATGAATTTTGACATAGATATTGAGGATAGTATTGAAGAAGACATAGGCTACTTACTTTTTTTTATTCCACGCCGACGGATACGCAGGCGAAAGCTAGTTAACTAATTTTTATAAGTAGCAAACGAACATCATCAAATACAGTACCATCAAAACATTAAGGTCATGATTACGTGCGAAATTCTGGAAAAATAATTTTAGTTATGACAAGAATTAAAGAAAAACAGTGGTTATGCCCAAGTCTAACTAAACTACGTATTTATCCATTAAAAGCTGACGTAAATTGTGAATCTAAAAATACCCAATTCAAGAATTCATTACAGTGAGAGCAGTTTTATTCAATTGAATATCTGAATTTTATCGTTTATACAAATTTTATTGGTTTTCTAATTAAGCATAATCAAGTCGATAAAGTTTATTATCAAATACATTAAGTGGTATTATTATTAATATCAAGTTAATTTTAAACCGCGTTATTTGTGTAACTATTTTAGACATTATGCGGTTACCGAGTTTACTTTTAGGTTAGGAAAAGTGCTTCAGTTTTTAATGTGTAATACAATCGCTAAAGTCCGCGGTGTTTGAGGAAAAATTGCCTTGTTCGGTACAACGATATAAACCTCGCCTCTTCCTACAGATCTTACTTCTTACAAATATTATAAATGCGAAAGTTTAGATGGATGGATGGATGTTTGTTAGTTTGCAACCTAAACTGCAAAACGGATTTTAATGAAATTTGGCATAGATGTAGAGCATAGTCTGGAAGAACTCATAGGCTACTCACTATTGGTTTTCTTTATTTCATGCTGACGCAGTCGCGGTCGAAAGCCAGTAACTAATAAGATAGCAACGAGTAGTGCAAACGAAAGGATAATAATGAAAATAAACTAGCCGTGTATACCTAACCGACTTTTTTTTTCGTACAGATATATTTATAAGCTGCTTTGTATTGATATTTTTTGCGTCTCGTTTCAAAATTTTCAAACGATTGTAGCTTTAAAGGTGGAAACACCACCAGTTTCTCTGATTGTACATATCTTTTTGATTTACTTACGTATATTTACTTAGATTATCTTTGTTCATTCTATTACTTGAATGTATAATTTGCCTACTATTTTTTTTTTCTTTCCAGTAACAATACCACTGTTGAGCTTTGGTATGGTACAAGGATGGCTGTCTCCTATGATATCTGTGCTGCAATCGCCCGAGGGTCCGTCTCCGGAGCCGTTCAGCAGCACGGACATATCCTGGGTGACGTCAGTTACTTACATCACAGCTATCATATTCGGCGCGCCGATGGGATATTTGACAGATCGGTACGGTCGGAAGATAATGACCCTTCTTACAACGTTGTCGCTAATTGTGAGTATTTCTAATAGTAACATACATAACATACATCATACTTCTTACTAATTATTAATATTATAAATGCGAAAGTTTAGATGGATGGATGTTTGTTAGAGTTTGTAGCCTAAACGGCTGAACGGATCTCGATGAAATTTGGTATAGACGTAGAGGATAGTCTGGAAGAACTTTTTTTTTAATTCCACGCGAACGGAGTCGCGGGCGAAAGCTAGTATATTATAAATGCGAAAGTTTAGACAAATGGATGGATGGTTGTTTGTTGTCTAAACGGCATAACGGATTTTGATGAAAATCATAGATTTAAAACAGTCTAGAAGAACACTATTTACTTTTGTTTTTTTTTTTAAATCCACGCGGACGGAGTCGCGGGCAAAAGCCAGTAGTAGAATTGGACTTAGTAAGAATGTGCGCACACCTGAAATTACTCTATCGTATAACTGTTTAGTCTTGCTTTGATTCCTATAAGCTTATATGGAAGTGCGCCTTATTCGATTTCTCGGTTGCGAATAAATCGACAATCGTATAACAGTTGTGCGATAGTTCAGTCAAAGGTGTACGCCCGCACTTTGTTATTAAATATTGTTAGAACTCTACTCATAGGTCGAAACAGGTAAAACGTCTGTTGTGTATGTTCACAGCGCATCTGCCCATTACACTTATAACACAATCTTTTTATGTTTATTATCAAGTAATACCGGTTAACTAAGATAAATATGAAAAAAACAAGCTGTACTTCGACCTCTACATACCTATTTATTTATAATTTGTGTTTACTATACTATGTTGTTTTCTTATTAAACCTGTAGGTAATAATTAAATCTGGTTAACACTTAAATCTAAAAGGATTTTGTCGCTATTAAATACATATCTTTAAATAATTTTATTATTCCGACATAAACCACACGAAGTATATCGTTTTCAGATTTTATGATATTGCTCATCTCCTAACGGTGGTAGCGTGATGTTTAATACCTTATAACCTTCCGTAAAAATTGGAGTATTGAATGCAAAAAGATTTATTCAACACCGTTAATAAATGCCTGACTTTAACGATAACAAACACAAAAATAATCAAATGTATCTTTAACTTGGTTAATTATTTAGTTAATTTAGAGTTATTATAAATATTCTATAGGTTCCCGTACGTAGGATTTTATAGCTATATAGTTCCACAAATAGCGTGTTTAGTATTTCTGTATACATCATAAAACTATAAATAGTTGACCGTTTAGTTATGCGTGTTGTCCGCCATTTGAGCAAACTTGCAGAAGTCAAGGCTCATCGCCACTATGCATTTCATTCATAAAATATACTAGCTATTCCCGTGCGATATCATCAGCATAAAATTATTTAATTGTTTACATGTGTCAATTGCAAATGTCAAAATGATATGACATGACAAAACTTGGCAATCTTGCTTCCTTAATGTTGGCAGCAACTTATGCTCTCTTTTGGCCATCCTGCTTCATATCTGTCCTCAGATATGCTAACTACTTCAACAAACATTATTTCATCTATATCTATACTAATATTATAAAGAGGAAAACTTTGTATTTTCACTGGTTTCAATTTGAATCCTTATCCAAATAAATTATCATTTCTTATCAGAAGAATTTAATGTAGAATAAAATTGTCCTTTACATTATTTAAATTGGACTAATAGTTTAGAAGATATCGCAAACACAAACAATAAGTAACCGAAAAACCACCTTACAAGTTACCGGGCTTAGAAATTTGCATCAGTAGATTTCTGTTATTACGTAGATTACTACTAAGTTAATACTTTTGGTAATAGGTTGAAAAAAGGACGAACGTAATAGGTTATATTTGTTATTTCACGCGGGCGAGATCGCGAGCAACAGCTAGTCTTACATACTTTTTATAAACTATCTTACTATGTTTATGTGAAATGGATTTAACGGTATTGTGTACTACATCGCTATATAAATAAAAATTGTTTATGTCTTACTAATATTATAAATGCGAAAAGATGGATGTTTGTTAGTTTGTAGCGTAATCTGCTGAACGGATCTCGATATGGCATAGATGTAGATTATAGTATAGAACTGGCTACTTGCTTTTGTTTTATTTTTTATTTTACACGGACAGAGTCGCGAGCGAAGTTTAGTTAGATATTAGAGTAGATTTCCACTGTCAAAAATATTTTCATATATTTTTTATCTCTTTTTTGCTTGTTGTATATTTTAAAAATTAACTAGACAGGCTAGGATGACTCAATATTTTTAAAAACTACTAAAATATATATTATTTTAATAAGGAAGTCAGTCATCAAGGTTTCAACATTCAAAATATTTGCTACAAAAATATACAAAAAAATCTATAAACGGAAGTAAACAGATATGTAAATATTGCAAATTCTGTTTTTTATAGCTTTTTGATAAAACGATTTTTGTAACGTTTATCTTAAAAGTTTCTCGATATTTGACGATGCATATTTTAAGAAATAAAACTACATAACAGCGGTAGAGCCCGCTTTAACATCTTCGCACGAATGGGCCGGCTCGCCCGGTGTAATACCACGACCACACAGAAAACAGGCGTGAAGTGGAAGCAATTCCGCGTTTCGTCTGATTAGTGTGGTGCCGGAGGCCTAATTTTAGTCCCTTTCCCTTTCCACCCTTTTCTTAAGAGGAAAGGATGGGGAGGAAAAGATTTGACGGTGGAGGAGACGCATAGGAAGGGGAAATGTCCTCTTTATGTGCGTCTACTTCTCCGTCAATTAAGGGTAGGCAACGCATCTGCAATTGCAGATGTCTATGGGCAGCGGTCGCTTTGCCATTTTGGCGATTTCAGGTGGCCGTTTGCTCGTTTGCCACATTATGTTATAAAAAAAATAAAACAACATAAAAATAATACAGGGAAACCAGAATAAGTCATATTATTAAGGAATATACACATATAATAATAATTGTTTCGGTTAATTTTACAACTAGCAATAGACCTTGGTTGGTGCTAATTAAGTGTACACGTCACATTACGGAAGTTATTTAATAATCTATGTTACTATGTTACATTCGAAACTTGAAAAAATGTTCTTTACAAAACACTCGTTTTTCCCAAACTAGCTGTTCCCGTGGAACTTCATCCCCATAAAATTATGACAATTTTATTTAATTGTTTACATTTGTCAAATTATCAATTGCAAATGTCAAAATGTTATGACGATGACAAACCAAGGCAACCTTGCTTCCTTGATGTTGGCAGCAACTTATGATCTCTTTCCCACATTAGGGTTTTTATCCAAAATATTTACCCCCTAAGTTTAATGGCGTAAAAATATACAGCCTAAAGCGTGACGTAAGTGTAAGGCGTTTTATTAAAAATATAATTATTCAAAAATATGCTGTAATTGCTGACATCTTAGGCAACAAAGAAGTGTGTGTTTACGCTTTATTATAATTTATCTTAAATTATTTAAATCTATGGACAATATTACGGATAAATGGCGCATATGAAGTATCAAATTAAATTTGTATGAAGACAAATGCCGTACTTAATATACAGATATCGTAGTGACAAAACAAACACGCATAGCAAACAATTATGAACTATCGATATTCGGTTTAAATCAAATTTATCGAACTTACCTCACTCATTACTAATTTAAGAAAGCAGTGTTTTTTAATTTAATCCATAAGTTTTAACTATGAATCTATCGATTCCAACTTCCATAAGAAAAAATCGAAAATCGAAAAAAATCATACCGGATTTTACAGAAGCCGTCCCTACTAAATTGCCAATGAATTGTCAAACTAATCTATCTTATTTAGACAAATTATATTAGAAACTATAAAAATTAATAAGAGTTTAATCAGGTTCAAACAGAATTTCCTAACTGAATCTAAAGATGTCACTGGACTTTTAACCTTTTAAACACAGATAAAAAACAGACAGTGCATTCCCTCGTCAAAAAGGAAACCACAATTTCCTACAACTGGCATCATTGAACGTTAAAAAACAAATCTTTAAAAAGCTACCGTTCAATTATTTAAATAAAGAATGTCAGTGATGTAATAAAAAATGAATTCCGTCACCTTTTATTTGCGGCCATTGTTATTGTTCTGCGAGTTTTTATTTGTTTCCACGCTTTAGCTAAAATGTCTCTCTTTCCTGATGCTTTATATCCGGACTTTTTTTTACTCGTTTAATCGATTGGAATTTCCACGAAATTCGATGTTTCTTTAAATAAAATTGTTCACTAATTCGATTAAAATTAACAGTCAAAATATGTTTTATCGGCACTAACCATAAGCCCAAAATTACACCTATTTTCTTTGCTAAAGACTGCGAGTTACGAGTAGGGCTTGATATATTGCTTTTGTTTGAATAAAAGTAAAAATAACAACCGACTTTAAAAAGAATTAGGTTTAATATGTCTGTACATTTTTATTACATACTAGCTGTTACTCGCGATTTCAACCACATGTAATTAAAAAATATAGCTTACTAGCTTTCGCCCGCGACTTTGCCGCGCAGAATTAAAAAAAAAGAAAATTAAATAGCCTATGTGTTCTTCCAGACTATGTTCTACATCTATGCCAAATTTCATCAAGATCCTTTCATCCGATTAGGCTACAAACTGTAACAAACATTCATCCATCAAAACTTTCGCATTTATAATAATAAGATATTATTCACAGATAAATGACATTTCTCTCTGTGGAGCAACTTTTAAAATCGGATTAGTACTTTTTGAGTTATTTACATACAAAAAACAAATATTTCCTCTTTATAATATCAAGTATAGACAAACGTGTAATTTGTTGCAGGCGTATTGGCAGATAAAGTTACTAAGCTTGGAACCCTGGGCAGTGATACTGGCGCGTGGTATAGCTGGCATACCGTGCTCCGCATGCTACATAGTCCTGCCTATTTACTTGAAGGAGATCAGCGATATAGATCTGAGAGGCGCGCTAGGATCCTTGCTTATACTGAACAGGTAACACCATAGTCTAACTATTAATGCTATGTAGTGGTTTAACGAGTGACAATAGAAATACTTGGACTGTCAAAGGACTCATCTCCTCTCCCTCATACCCTCTGAATAAATAGAGACAGCAATATGTGTCAATATAAGTGTATCAAATATTGTGTTACGCTTTATGTTATCTGTACTAATATTATAAAGAGGAAAGATTTGTATTTTGTATTTTTGTATGTATTGTAATAACTCAAAAACTACAGGTCCGATTACAAAAATTTTTACACCATTAAAAAGCTACGTAATTAGTGACTAACGGGGACTTTTATTAATTCCACGGAGACGAAGTCGCGGGGAACTAGGTAGTAGTCTTATGATTCGGTGTTATACGAAAAACAAAACACTAATTATAAAATGAATCTGAACACATTAATTACTTATTCGTCGAGTGCTACCTCAATTAAATACAAACTGTATAATTAGTAATTTAAAATGACTATTATCTGCTCGGTTCACATTGTCAGTATAATCGGACAGTGTTCAAAATCATCACTGTCATAGATGCTAACTGGCACCGGTGCACCAAAATAAGCTATGCTATGCCAGCGCAACTTACTGTGTTAGCATAATGTAAGCTAGGTAAAGTCAATCTTTCGTTTACATTTACACTACATTACATTCCATCTTTCATTACATTACATCTTACATTACATTACATCTTACATTACATTACGTCTCTAAAAACATGACTCATTCGAATCATTTGATAGAACAACGGTTGTTTATAAAATTGTTAATAAGATGGTACTGCAATAAAATATTCAAGGCAATGCAATTTGAATTCGTAATGCCCTCATAAAGATGCGGAAATAAATAAATCAACGTTGGAATAAAATTACTATATTCTTGAAATATGCACGTGACAATAAGCACGGGGAAGGATATATCTTTAGGTTTAAAAGATGGATAGATTGTGTTAAATGTGACATGATCAAGGAAGTGACAAAGTGACGTAAGATTGATCTGAACGAAGAAACACTGGTGCACCGACGTTACATAGAGTAGGATAAAAATATTCAAAAGACACGTATTAAATGACGAAAAAAAATGAAAACCGGACAACCAGAAGCTGAATCATAAAGTAACAAAGAATAGACTAATTGAGAACAATTTTGGAAGTCGGTTACAAACTCAAAATGATCGAATTACTCTAACGGGATTTTTATACGATTTAATTTTCGAATGTATATTAAGAGCGCATCTTCGACTAAATTATCGCGTCATTGTTTGGTCCAGCATGATTCCTATGAGCGTGTATAAAGGTGCGCTACTGGATTTTTAGTTGTGCAACTAAACAGTTGAATTGGCTGCGAAACAATCGACAATCGCACAAGAGTTGTGCATAGTTTAGTTAAGGTGTGCGACCGCACTTATTTGACTTAGCCCTAGGCAATGTAACAAACCACACTAGAGTCTAGTAATTTAGTAATTTATAAACAATATACTCAATTATGAATAAATCATAGGAAGATATGTGTCAAAAAAATAGTCGCAAAATTAATGACAACTTAATGCAATCTTCATTCGTATGGCCTGCTTTGGACCGGTTCTTTACCGTTAAAGTCAAGAAAAAAACATACAAAACGCATTGATTTTGGTAAAACCCAGATTTTATACGAAATTCGGAAAATCCCAAAGGTTAGTTAATTGGTTTTAATACGACAGAAAAACAATAACAATAAAGAAACGTCGTATTTTTCGGACAGAATACGATGTTCCGTGCGATTCTAGAAGGTGCCTTTCTCATTGCTAGATACTTTCGAGGTAACAACATTTGCGTGAGAGGACCGGATCAACCTGGGACCGGGGAAGTATCATATCCTAATGTGGGCCATACACGTTAGGTTTAGATTTTGCATTATGGTTTTAACCTTGCAGACATAGCAAAGTTTCAAAGTACATAACAGTCCTATGACACACACGCCAGGGTTTGCCTAAATAGTTAATAACGAGGGTAACAAATGGTCCAAACAGTTTGGCTATCAAATATGACGCATTTGAAACGAGAATTAAAAGATTCGCATAACCTTATTTTTTATCTGTCAATTGTTTTAATTAGCGATAATTTTATTGTAATTAAGTGAACTGGTTTTTGAATTTAGAAGATCAGGGTTATATTTTTGATTTAGTTTTCAACAGTTTAATATTCTAGAACTCGTTTCACGATGGAGAAGACAAAGACTAATTTGCCGTTAACAGTTTGAAGGAAAAATTCGATTTCGAAATAGACTTGTCCTGCAGTTTTTATGGATACTCTAAAGACGTCAATGAACAGTCTTGACAACATTACGTGATAGGGTTCACAATTAGCATCTCTAGTTACGTATTAATGAAATTCTAATGAATTGTCTAGACAATTCTAATTCTAGTAATTTCTATTTAATAATGATAGAAGAAAGTACTTCCATGATTATGGAGATTAAATATGTATTACTACAGTTTGTCAGATATTGAAATCATTTTAAAAATTTTCTTTTCAACTATGGACACGAAATATAATATAAATGTTTAGAATTGAGAATAGTGCCATCTAGTGATAATACTGAGAATCAAAAATTGTAAAACCATTTTCTTTTTCAGAAACATCGGTTACCTGGCAAGCTACATTGGCGCTGACTTACTGGAGCCGACTACATTACTTTGGATAGGATTGTTTGTTCCTACCGTCGTGTTCTTCATCTTCCTGCTTATGCCGGAGACGCCCGAGTTCCTCGTCAAACAGGGAAAAGTCGATGTGAGAACTTCCTTGATAATAACATGTGTGTATGACTGAAAAATTTAGAAAATTTAGTACTGGCAACCATTACAATTAAGATTAGATTTGTAAATTATTATGCTAACATCATAATTCTACGCCTGTTGTATTATTTGAGGCAATGTTTTATTTTCGGTATTTTGGTATGCTACAAAAATCATAATCTTCTCATTACTATTTTAATATGAATACAAGATTAGAAGAACAGTTTGTTTGGTAGCTTTACTTCATAATTGCGGAAACATGTATTCAATAAAAATAATGGTACATAAATAATCATGTAATTGACACAGGAAATCAACAATTTCATGTTTCAGTTGTATTTGTGCTGTAGTCGGTTAAATTATCATTTTTCACTTAAAATAATTTCACGTAATTTTTCTGTAATTATAATAATTATCCTAGATTACTGGTAATTTTGAATTTACTGCAGTTACATTAATTGGCAGATGAGTTGACGAAAACTAAACTATTAGCCGTTTGACAGAAAATATCAAGTACTTGCTCGTAATTGCTTTTTTTATAGACACAGAAGCTTCTGGTCAATACAATAATTTGTGAAAATTTTCCAGGAAGCCAAAACTGTATTGGCTTGGCTCCGAGGTGTGTCGACATTAGATAGTAAAGTGGAGGAAGAAGTAGAGGGCATAGTGAAGGCTGAAAAACGTACACAGTCTGACTCCAAATCAGTATGGGGAATTATACGTAAGTTTTATATTTATTAAAAACAAGTGACAAATGTATCAATAATAGTTACAGTAATACTTAATGGAGTACAAGAATTCTTATACACTTCAAGATATATACATTCAAAAATGTAAGCCGCATCTTACTCCCTCTTACTTCACCTATGTAATATCTTCTTTTTCAAACTCACAGACTCAACCTGCCGATAACAGCCAGTATTAATTTAAAAAAAATTCTCAATTGCAGTAAAGGATAAGCCGACATTCAAAGCGTTCATAATAACATTGGTGATCAAGATAACGCAGCAGTTTGATGGCTACCTGATTGTACTCATCTACGCTGGCTTCGTGTTCGAGCGCGCGGCTGACTACATCAGTCTCAAGCTCAGCCCCAACAAGCAGATAATAATGATAGGTGTTGTGCAGCTGCTGGGCTCGATAGTCGCCACTTGTATCGTGGAAAGGACTGGCAGAAAGGTTGGTGATCAACTAGCGAAGTTGCTTAAGTTATTAAAACTAAATAGAACTGAAAATATTTACTTTAAACTAGATGGCATTATTTTTAATTGTCTAAAAATTCTTTCATGTTTTAAATGTAATTTTGTTCTGTGTAATTTTGTTTGTAAACCTTTAACGTAATTATATAAATCATTAGTAAGATAGACTTATAAATCTTTCAGTTACTCCTGATTACGACGTCACTTGCGATGGGCGTGGGTATGTTGACCCTATCCGCATGGTTCTACGTGACCGCGGAGGGCAGCTGGCTGCCGGGCTGGCTGCCAGTGCTGGCAATGTGTGTATGCATCTTCGCTGATGCAGCCGGCTTCCAACCGATATCCTACATCATCATCACCGATCTCTTTACATTCCAGGTGAATAATCTATAATTTTATAAAGAGAAATAACGCTTCAATTTATTTCTTTTCTATTTCCTTAAAAAATAAATAGTTAAAAAGTGGTTTGTTGAAATAAAATATTTGCTATTTAATTTCAGCAGGCGTTCTGATCATTTCGTGTTTAATTGTATTGATGTGTTTACTATTGAACAAAAAAGGTCTAATGAATTTATTTTTCAGTTACGAGGAACGGTGTCGTCATTCGCTAACATATGCGCTAAACTCAGCAACTTCGTACAAATGAAATGGTTCAAGAACCTCAGCGAAATGATCGGCATACACTGGACACTTCTGTTCTTTTCTATTGTCTGCTTTGCCGCTTCCTTCTATACTGTGATATTCTTCCACGAAACGAGAAATAAGACTGTTGATGAGATATACGCGAAGCTATCCAGGAGTAGAAAGAAGGAGAGCGAAGAAGAAGTGTCTAAATCAGGTCCCTAATGTTTATTTTTAAAGACAATTAATTGAGATTATATCGTTTTGAAAAGCATTTGTTAAAAAGCACTTTATGCATTTAAAAGGTTTAATTTAAGTACTTTTCGTACTAAGAGGCTTTTCAGCTTTGTAAACATAGTCATGTAATAATTATGAAGTTGTGTTTAACCAATGTGAGTTAAAATTTGCTTATAATGTAAACGTTGTTTCGGCAGTAGAAAAAAATTGTACATTTTTTTATTTAATTGACTGTAATTACGAGAGTTCTGAAGTGTCATATTTGTACAATAATTTTATTACATCTGTATATAAGTTATGTTTTAGCGCGCAATTCTAGACTGAACTATCGCACAACTGTTTAGTCTTGCTTTGATTCCCATGAGCTTATATGGAAGTACACTACTCCATTTTTAGTTGTGCAACTAAACAGTTGAATTTACTGCGAAACAATCGACAATCGCACAACAGTTGTGCGATAGTTTAGTCAAAGGAAGTAGATATGCCCGTTCTTATAATTTGTTTATTTCAATCTAACGCCGAAATTGAGTAAACATTGGACAATCAAACACGTCTGATACATGGCGGCCATTACGTTAGAAAACTTTGAAAAGTGTATATTTGAAAATAAGCGTTAACTACATTTTTACCGTATTGTAATATTTGAGCATTTTAGGTTTCGTTCTCCAAATAGATCTAGACATCAATTCAGCGACTCTTTTCTTCATGATGCCACCATTTTTTAATTCATTCACCTTTTGCTAAAAAAAAAAATAAAAAGACAGTTTACGGTGAAAACGTTTCGGATTTAGAATGAAATGAAAAACAAATGAATCGCTTGTTCTTTAATAAATAGTCCTTTAATAACTATAAGAATATTAATTCAAGTATTTCGGCAGTGGAAGTCCACTGTTAAGTAAAAAGGTACAAAACTTGTAGCAGTCAAGTTGCTTAATAACTTAGGCTAAGAAATAAAGATAGAATTACATAGAAATATAAAGAATAAATGGATGTATGAATTATTATAATGTACGTGTTATTTTTGTATTAAGTATTGAAGTAGATAAGTTATTTGATAAATTTTTAGTATAAGATAAGTTACTTGTGCGTATTTTTATGAGTAGTGATCTATATTTTTTTAATAATTAAAATATATTTTATTATATGACAAAGAAATTATTATTTCTTATGTTTCGAATTTCAAATATAAGTACAAATACGTAATGAAAAAACTACATTGCTCAAAAAATAATGCACAAGTGATTCAGTTTTTAATCGCCTCTCAGAGGGCGTTATTAATTCCGTCCCCTCTTTAATTTCTTAGTCTATGTTTATTAGTCTATGTTATATACAAGGGAAATTATATTTTACCAATAATCATGATACTTTTGGAAGATATTCCAAGAAAGAAAATTAATTTAAAAATGTTTTCTTTAATGAAATACAAAATTGTTTTTAACTTTTGATTTATTAAATGTAAATATGATTATGTAATAAATTATTAATTCAACAATATTTTTAATTTTATTTTTCTTTTTAGTGGCTAATAAACTTTTAACAAAATCTTCTACTCTTCGTCGTCCTTTTAATAAAATTTTATTAAAAAAAAAAACTTTATGTAACACAAATGTATATTTAAGAACATTTGATGGACACTTTTTCTTATCTTATCTTGTTCTTTAGCTTAACTTTATCTTTTTAAAAGTTCCGACACTTAAAAGACCAACCTTGAATCTTCTCCAAAATATATCTAGTTTATTATAATGACCTATTTTAAAATTTAATTGCAGTTTCTTATCGTTCTGTATATAACATAAAAACATTTTAAAAATAGACACTTTTTACCAAATATAACAAAGTAAATATTATTAAATAGTCTTTTGTATTGTCTTAACAATGGTAATAACGATTGTTTTATTAATAGTAAAAATAAAATAACTATGTTTTCATGACGGTTTAAAATTCAAAAGCATTTTGTATTCAAATGCATTATAAACTATTTATTTACATTGTAATTGTAGATAACATTGATGTAGAAAAGTACAAATATTTATTTAGAGTGCACTTCCACAGGTGTAGAGATAACACGCCTTAGATGAAAGGGATTTTAAATCCCCATACTTATGATTGTCTGATATTTATTTAAAGAGATAATTTTCTACTTCTAGCAGAAACCAGTTTCGTTTTTTTTTTAAAAAGTTAAACAATACAAACGGTATTGTTATTTTAAAAAGAAAATTAAAAACTACGAATGTAAGGTAACTAATATATATCAAAGGAGAAATTACTTTCAAGATGATATTTTCAACGAATGGATTTTTATATCATAAGGTGGTGGAGCAAGCGGCCATCTGAATACGCAGAAATAGCTACCGCTAGCAGACATATACACAAGCAGATATGTACTACCTCAAATCGACAAAGGAAAGGACGCACAAAGGAAATTTCCCCTTCCTAAAGATCTCCACATCATTCAAAACTTCCCCATCCTATATAAGTAAAAGGCGAGAAGGCATTACTCTTTTTGTAATCAGATAGCAGCAACCGATCAATCCGAGGTTCGGCTTTCTCGGGCACCCTTGAATCGGAATGCTAAACGCGTATTGAGTGACAGCCCAAGCCGAGGTCCCCTCTCGGGGACCCTTGTGCCTAGTCACTCCATGGAGCGACCACCGAAGCGATCTAAGAGCTCGGTGGCCTCCCAATCCGGTAATAATAACGATGTAACGGCCCGAGCCGAGGCTCCTGAGGAAGCCCTCGAGCCTAGTTACTCATAAAAGAGGTTTAGGCTAAGCGCCATCTGCGCTCGGCCACCTCAAGCCCGGTGAATCTGTAAATGCCTCTTCAAGGCAAACAGTGACAACTCAGTCACAAAAAAAAAATGGATAGGAGACTATAATTGGGTTTCCTGCACGCAAAATATGAAGTACGTGTTTCGGCAGTGGACACTAAACATGTTTTACAGGGCCCGCAATAATTAGTCATACAAATTATTAAAAGTCTTAACGGTAGTGATGTTTCTCTAGATTTACCTAAGCCCGTTCCTTTAAAAAGTTTTGAGAAAAACATAACATAGAACTGACAGTTTAAAATATTTTTAAAAACTTAATACAGCGGGTATGGCTCCACTTAAGTTAGTAAGTTTTTTCTACAAAAGTATTTACTACCTGTTAAAGGGTCCCGCTTATTCGTAACATCTGCTTACTTAGAATTTAGACAATTTATAGGCGACATCTTATTTAATTTTTGAATCTTATTTCGTTCTCTTTTTTAAGTACTTAAATTAGACTATCAAATAAGCTTACCTTTTATATATTAAATCCAGACACAGAACTCCAACAGTTTGATGGCTCCTTAGACTATCGTAAGGCACAATTTTGCGGTTAACAGCTTGTTTTATGTATTTAAAATAACTTCATAAACATTAATTTATGTGTTAATTTGACAATAACCGTAGAAAGAATACATTTACATTTTGATTGTATTTCGTATAATACATTAATGCTTGACGCGTCGTAATACACTGTGTTCGTTTTTAAGATTTTTCTTACAAACTTTACGTTTCAAATACATAATAACTTACCTAGAATCTATCGAGTTTTTGTCTTCAAGTGCTTCAAATAAATGCATTTCAATTAATATTTGGAGCTACGCATATTAATGCTTACGTATGTTTATATGATACGACTTTAATTGTCACCACGCCTGTCTGAGACAGCTTACAGATTTGCTTTAGTGAATGGACGGATACGAACCGAAGCGCGCGCACATCTCGTTCCAATTTTAAAATTTGAATTTCGAACACAGATCATCCTAATATAATAAAACCTTTTCGGTTGAATTATTGTTTCCTTTTTTAAAGTTAGATTTAGTGTGCGGCCAGTGTTCTTCATTTTATTACATTCTGTGATACTCGGGGTGACATTCCTGTTTCGTGTAATTAATCTGTGAGTACTTTTCGTTAAGTTTCTTTTTTTATAAAAGTATCAGTGGCCAGTTATTGTGAAATTGTTCAGTGTTAATTTGTAATTAAGAAAACGAATTTCTTAAAACTTAATCGTATACTGATTCATATATACATACACACATCATTCTTGTAAGTATATTTTTTTAATTTATTCTTGTTATAAACATCAATATTTAAAATCTCAAATGTAAATGTAAATAGTACGAGTATATTGATTACCCTAAGATTGGTATTACCGCTGGGAATTTAAATAATTTATCAAATTATCGATTGCACAATAAATCTATTTTATTTTGGAAGAATTCCTTTAATTTATTATTCATTCAAATACTGCATAAATGAATAATAATTTAAACAATTAAAATCTGCACAAATAATACAAATTGTCTTTATTTAAATTTTAATGCATACTTTACCTTTTTTCGTTTATTTATAGTTGAAGATACCAGGGGTTACGAACCTGCGAATAATCCAACCATATATGGTAATATTCCCTACCATAAGTCATCCTACTTACATTTGCGCAAAACTACGCTCAGTTCTGACATTTCAGTTCAATAGTTCAATTCAAACTATTAATTAGAGCTGAGCGTAGCCAGCTTTAGACCTACGTATCCTTTTTTCCTAGTACATAATGTATTTCAAGATCCGTAAAGTGCCATTAATGGCCCGCTTACCATTAGTTGTGCACCCCTGGCTATTTTAGACTGTACGTATTTTCATAATTTTAATTAAAATCCTAATTAATATACTTGTATTAGTTTTATACGTTAAAAATAAGGCATTTCTACTAAGAGTATAACCAAACTTTTTCTATATGTTAATATTATTTTTGATAAATAAAGTAGATTTTATTTAATATAGTTAAAATTCGTATAGTGTTGTCTAGAAATTCTCTTATTTTCTTAACCTTTTGTTATATCTTTACGATTTATCATGACAAAGTAAGATTTATTCTTACGCAAAAATTTTGAAAATTGCGTAAGTTATACCGGGAAGAATTATTTTATCAACCAAACCAACGTTGGAATGCAATTTTGTTGTTACTTTATCCATATTTAAAATATTTTAAAATAACCATCAAAGTGTTAAAAATGTGTATAAACCACGGTTAGTTATGCAGCAGAACCTCGATAACTCAAACCTCGGTAACTTAAAAACCTCTATAACTTCAAAAAATAATATGTTCCCTTCCCGTCAGAGGCCAAAACTTCTATAACGTAGACCCTTGATAACTTAAAACCTCTATAACTTCAAATATTTTGTTTTTCCCTTAAACTTTAACTTATCGAGGTTCTACTGTGCTTATCAGTAAAAAAATTATTGACGAATGCTCGTAAAACTACGATAAAGTGAATTCCAATTGAAATAAAACGTTTCCTAACAAGTTAACTGATTTCATTTAAGCCGGGTTTCTGAAGTTTCCGTTAATTTAATCATTACCAATTGATTCATGATAAACTTACATTACAAAGGAGTAAAACTCAAGTTACGTAATTCGGAAACGCATTTTATGAAGTTATTGAATCAAAACACTAACGAATGGTTAAATGTAGCTGGGAAACCGGCCAGTAAATGTTGTGTTGAGTTGAAGATGAGATAAAAATTATTTTATAACTATACTCATCATTACAACATTGATTTACACAGAATGATTTATGATTATACTAGCTTTCGTCCGCGACTCCGTCCGCGTGAAATAAAAAAAAAATAGTAAGTAGCCTATGTCTTCTTCCAGACTATGCTCTACATGTATGCGAAATTTCATCAAGATCCGTTTAGGCGTTTAGGCTACAAACTAACAAACATCCATCCATCCATCTAAACTTTCGCATTTATAAAATTAGTAAGATAGTAAGAAATAAGATAAAATATATTACAGACGTTGACAAGGTGAGGTTAAGGGTGCAGCTGACCCCTATAGTCAAAGTTTTAATTTGCCTAGCACTCAAGATGCAACCTTGTCGATAACAAGCGACGCTTTAAAGCGCTTCAGTTTGAATTAAAAAAAGATAATTTGTTGTATTTAAAGGTTTAGGCTACGAGCCCCTCGGTGGAGGCGTGTAGTGAGCTGGTGATGATGATGAAATGGTTTAATACCGCTTATAAACGCACCTAAACCTTATATTTCAAGCTATTGCGTGGAAGTTATCACTTAATCTTACTCTTACTAATATTATAAATGTGAATGTATAGATGGATGGATGTTTGAGAGTTTGTAGCCCAAACGGCTGAACGGATTTCGATGAAACTTGGCATAGATGTATAGGATAGTCTGGGACGGAGTTGCGGGCGAAAGTTAGTTTTAATTAAATGCAATGGGCATCGAACTAGCATTGTTTTAATAACAAAAGACGATCGTATAATGAACTACCGCATTTATCTATCCGTGCGTTCACATTGTACAAACATACGTTATCTCTGTCATTCTAACATAAAAAGAAAGGGATAGTAAATTTAAATTACTTTAAGTTCATTTGTGAAAGCCGACGGTAAAATAAACATAATATAAACGTCTTCATTCATCTTTGTCATATGTACAGTTTTAGTGTTATTTTTTTATTATAGTACGTACAAATATTTACATTACTGGAGAGTGGATCGTTGTCATGTTTGATATGTATGTTGTGAACAGACAGACTGTCACCAGACTGTTTATATACGTCTCAGCTCTTAATTATAATTTTACTGGCTTTGGCACGCGAAACTACTTCCCTAAATTAAACTAGACTTTGGGCATTCAGGTCCAGTTAGTACGAGTATAACATCTGTCAATGTCAATCAGGATAAAGGACTAGCTTTAGCCCGTGACTTCGTCGTTAAATAAACAAAAAACAAAAGTATCTATGTCTTCTTCCAGAACATCCTCTACGTGTATGTCAAATTTTATTTAGATCCGTTTAACAGTTTAGACTATAAACTGTAACAAACATTCATCTAAATTTTTGCATTAATATTACTATCATAAGAGCACCAATGGCGGATCCAGGGGGTGGGTCATAGGAGGTCATGACGCCCCCACCCCGAGCTGGTCGGTCAAGAGCTTGACTAAATATATTTACATATTTTGTCCTCGACTATGTAACCCCCGGCACCAAAGCTGGATCCGCCCTTGAAGTGCACCATTCTAGCATGAATTGGTGGTATCGAGTATCGAAGTGGATTTACTTACTAACGGTTATATAATCGTCTAAAACTATTTGCACAAATCTGAAATATTGATGAATACTGTGTCCATATTTAAACAGAAAGTAACTGATTAGCTGAATTTAATCACGTATAATATAAACAAGTGTAACCTTGTAATGAAAAATACAGCAATTATAAATTAAATACGTGATAATAAGAGAAAAGGTTCTGTAATTTCATTGGTTACGAACATTACGTTAAATATAAGTTAAACGAGACCACGACTTGACTCGACTAATCTTTCAAAAAGTTATTTGTTGGGATGTACAGTCGCGAAAATTCGCGGTGTCCAAGAATAATTGCCTTGTTCATTGCAACAAGACAAACTCCACTTCGTACATATAACTAACTAGCTCTTGCTCGCGACTTCGCCCGCGTGATATTATAAAAGTATAGCCCATGTTACTCATAGATAAATTACCTTTTTAAGGGTGATTTTTTTTTTAAATCAGTAGTTTTTGAGTTATTCCAATACATACAAAAATACAAATCTTTCCGCTTTGTAATATTAGCATAGATTTGATAGCAGTGACTGCACGAAGCGATAATAATAAAAAGAAACTTGCTTTGAAATTTTTCGTACAAACACATTTATAAGCTTTGTTCATTTGTTTTTTTGTTCCGCGTCTCGTTTCAAAATGTACAAAGGGTTGTAGCTTTTAAAGTGTAACAACGTTAATTTTAGCGACTGTACATTGCGAGCTGTCGTAAAGTTCGAATAACCTTGGGTTTGACTAGTGACGTGTATGGTCGTTCCAATCGGTTAGTGGAAACGTTCCTCTACAACGCAATGCGGTAGCGGCGGCCATTATCTCGTTTATGGAGCGACTGTTATCAGGGTTAATATTATAAATTCCTTATGATTTTCTCGGTATACGCGATCTGTTACGATAGTTTGATATATTCTTTATCTAAGTAACCTTGTAGGTTTAAGTTATAGTGATTAGGTTATTATTCTAAGAGCGCGGACCGTACCCTTGATTAAACTATCAGACAACTGTTGTGCCATCGTCAATTGTTTTGCGGCCAATTCAACTGTTTAGTTGCACAACTAAAAATCGAGTAGTGTGCGCACATATAAACTCACAGGAATCAAAGAGCGACTAATCTGTTGTGAGTTGTGAGATAGTTTAGTCAAATGTGAGTACGGGCTCTAAATAGACTAGCCGTCGCCCGCAACTCCTGCGAATATAAAGTTGCTTCTTCCAGACTATCCTCTACATCTATGCCAAATTTCGTTCAGGTTCAGCCTATAAACTCTAAGATCCATCCATTTGTAACTTCTCTTTTATAATACAGTAGAACCTCGATAAGTTAAAGTCCAAGGGAAACACAAAATACTTTAAGTTATAGAAGTTTTAAGTTATCAAGGGTCTATGTTGTAAAGGTTTTGGGCCATGATGGGATGGGAACATATTATTTTTTGAAGTTATAGAGGTATTTAAGTTACCGAGGTTTGAGTTATCGAGGTTCTACTATA